ATCTTTGATCCCGTGATACTTTTTCCCCTGACTGATTATGTAAGTCAAAATATATTCTCTTAATAATTTAGGATACTTTCGAATGTTATCTCTATATATTTTTTATGTTCTCTAAACACAACATTATTAATCAATCGCCTTACACTTTCATCCTCCACTTTCTCTGACCAGTAGCGTTATTATTTACTGAGGCTTAGCTTGAGGGATATTTCGATTAACCGCAAAATACGCAAAATACAACATGTGTACAATTTTACAATTTACATGCGCTCTATAAACTACTCGTTGGCACTGCGCAAAATATCCTTCAAGACTTATTCTTATTCAATATCAAATTATGGTAAGTCTTTTATCTTAAATGTTTTTTATTTTACTGTGTGTTTGTTTGCCTTAAATTTGTACTTTAGTACTTTGGAATAATGTAATTTATAAGTTTTTTGTATTCTAATGTTACTTCTTGCGCAACGTATTTTAATAATATTCTAAAAAGTATATCAGTGTACTTTGTTTAAAATGGATCAAGTTAGGGTATTTGGCTGAGCAGTAGTATGTCCTCTCAAATGTTGCAACATAAGAATGGCTTTGACGCAGACGTAGAGGTGGGTTTTATTTGCTTGTTTTGAGGATGTTACCCCCACGAGAGTTTCTAGAAATGAGCATTAAAACATTCGAAACGTCAATTACCAGAGTATTGAATCTTTATAAGGATCAATACAATGTCCACTTCCTGACGAGAATCTGGTATTATACTACATAATTTTTAATTTTATTTTAACGCTGATGTATTTTTATTTTCTTTCTTAAAACAATTATGCGCGCGTTTCCCCTTTATATTAGATGTTTGTTTGTTGTAATACTTCTGCTTTATAGTTGTACTTTTTGTCTAAAGAATTGAGTAATTGTGTTATATTAGGTTAATTGTGTATCGCATTATGCTTACCACAACGGTGGCAATACACCTTTTTACAATGTCAGTTCCGTACCTTATTTTACACATTTTTCGACCAATATCATAACAAACCTAACGCGATCGCAAGTAACAAAAATATCAAATATGGCAGAAAGTTCTAATTCTGACGAACGGCTATTTCCTGAGATCGATCCCTGTTTTGATTGGTTAAAAATTTTGAGTTTCGCAGAGTCCGATTTTAAAACATCTCGTTAGCCGGACTGTAAGACTTGAGGAAATTTTTAACGCATGCGTTGTTTTAGTAGGTTTAAATTCTAAACCTTGTTTTAAATTTAAAAACAACGCGCGTTCTTCTAATAGCAACTACTTTGGTGAACTTAAAATTTATCAGAACTTGTTTGAAAAATAATAAATTACAATGGTGAGTTTTTCTATTAATTATAATAATTCTTATATGATGAAAAAAGATTATAAAAATTCTTTTATAACAAAATCTT